ATACCCATGGTGGGCAGAGCACAGATAGTCCTTGTGTAGCTTTGTGCATAATTAAAAAAACAAAGAAAACAAACAGACAGAAACAAAGTTAAATATCCTAACATTTGGAATGTTATTTTGCCATTTATCATACTCTGATACAGTACATACACTATCCTTAATAATAGCTCTACTAAGTTATCCTTCTAACAATTTTAAGATGTTGGTATTCTATAAATAATGTCTTTAGTATAAAGTAACAACCCTATAGAAATCCTATAAGACTGCTCCAGTTGCAACGGGCAGTGCTCTTGGGTCTAATCATTGGAGGTTCGACTTTACTGCCAATTACACCAAATTTATTTAATTGGGGAAAGCAGTAACGAGTGGAGCTCATAAGTCACTAACTCGAGGATATTTATGGTTAGACTAAAGAAAACGATTCTGAGACTGAGGTTTCACAAAATACACCAATTTTTATTTAGGTTCTTACATATAATATACATTCTTTTATTCATACTCAGCTAGTTATTCAATAAACAAACTTTCAAGTTAATCATTACCGACAATACGATTCACATAGAAAATACTCAAGTTCATTACATACATTACTTTCTTCATATAAACTGCTTTACTATTCTATCCTAAGCTACATTGATTGAGCGAGAGAAGTAGCAATCTTACTTACATTAAAGTTGAGGAGGTGTATTGTTGCAAAATGGATACCTACATCATAGATAGAACTTCTCAAACTGGAGAACTCTGTTCTGAGCTGGAGAACTCTTGCTTCATTTTGTAGGATTGTCGTCACCCCCTGGAGAACTGATTTTCAGCTCCAGGCATGAGTTTTTATACGATATTTTCTCTGTATTCTTACGAGTTTCCAGTTTCCAATTTGAATTCTAATCTACACTTTGATACCAAACGTATTGACATAAATTTATGAAATAATAGTTCAATAAAATGTTGAATGTGAGTCAACAAACAAGATGACATGGCCTTTCACCTGTGACCCGTCTCGAAAGGGTTAAATGTAAAAATTCCAAAATTACAGGAACTACTAACTAAGAAAGAATCACAATTAATTCAGAGTATAAATGTAGAGTAGATATTAAGGAATTAATTGAGTTTCTACATACTTAGTTTCGCTCCTAAAACTTGAGGGTAAGGTAATACCTTGGCCATGAATGGAACAATTTCTGGCTAATCTCAGGTAACCACTATCTCTCAATTTAACTACTCTAGTTTGATAATCAAATGGATGTACATTTGATCTTGAGCATACTATTGATAAAATAAGTTCATCCTTTACATTAAATAACCAAGTCCCTGGGGTCCTTGTCTTATAAAAATAAAATGGTTTATTGAGAATGATTCTCTTTGCACACAGCTTGGCTATTCTATTCTTAATTCCTACAAATATTACATAGTTACAAGTTACCTTGGGTACTGAATAAGATTCTGAATTAGGATCACATACTCTCATAGGTTCTTTTATATATCTTAACATATCTTTTTGTCATTCATAGATAGGTATGTTGATCACTTGAAACAGCAATATACAGTTTTTCATTTTCTATAGTTAAAAGTAAAGAGTGATTTAAAGTTAGTGGTAAAGGTATAATTCTATCTGTTGCTTTCAAGTGTATCTCTATAAACATCCTTAAAGTATCCCTGATTGCAGCTGTCTTGACATCAGCTCATATATAATGTATATAAATCTGATCGCTATGAGTAGGGATCACAAACTGTAAATGTGGGGGTAATTTCCTTTCAATTTCATATAACACTCTTTGTAACTTACTCAGGGGTAGAAGGTATGAACTCAACTTTCTATCTGCAGCTACATAAATGCTTGTACTAACTTAACTAACTCTGTCTTGCTTTTTCTTACAGTAAAAGATAGTTGTAGATTATTATGAATCCTAGTGTTAAAAACTAACATTTCAATTCCTGCTTTGTGTAGTTCAATTTGTCTGACTTTAGTGTGTATCAAGACATTAGAAATATTTACTAAAGCTGTCGATACTTTCCTAATCTTTTGGTCATGAATTAAATTGTCTGGTTTAATGAATTCATTTTAGTTGCATGTTCACCTATTAACTGGGTCATTTCCTTAGATACCTGTCTCTGTTGCTCAACCTTCTCGTTTAATTCACGTAAGTCGTCGGTGGTCGCAGTTCCGAATAAGAATTTCAAAACCCTTCCACCCACAGAAATTAAATCTTGTTTCTGTTGAGTTCTGTCTGATATCGATAAGCTATCTTTAATGTCTTTTAATTCTAATAATAACTCACCTATCTCGTCATGATATTATCTAATTAAAGTTTTATAATTTTCAATTAGTCCTTCTTGTAAGATTCTTGCTAAATGTAAGATAGCTGTTCCCTGATATCTCATGTGATGTAACATCCTGTCTTCTGAACTTCCTTCATCAAAACTAACACGAGTATTCACGTCAAATGAATTCTTGAACGTTACTAACTCTGTTACTAACATACTAATAACCAAACATACTGCAGAAACGGTATGTCTTCAACAATTATCCATTTATCTCCAGATAATATAAAATTACCTTCTTCAACAAAAACCATGCCTACCTTGTTTTCTACTGGAACAATACTTACATTTCGTCCAGTCTCAATTTCTACCATCAGTAACATAAGAATCTTAGTAAACCTATAGATATATCTACTAATAATACACATAATTATAATATTTTGTACAATACATGCAACATACATTAACTATATATATACACGCACACATTTATATATATAACTTATCCTATTCAACTTAATTACAACTTCGTAAATAGCTTATCATGTTATTGAAAACATCAATTACACTATCTTTACGAGAAATAGTATTAACAGCATTTATGTCACTTTTAAGTTTGTGTAGAACTACTTGAGGATTGAATCTCACTCGTTTCCTCCTAGTTGTATGGGTCACTTCTGTTGAGTTAATATAGGACCGCGTGATCTAAGGTTATAGTCACGGATCACTGTATGCTAACTGCATTTGCTGTAATAATTCTGGCTTGTAATAATAATCTACTGCATAATTAACTTTTCTAGGAGCAAATATCTCCTCCATAGGTAACATAACATCTCTACCATGTAATAGAAAAAATGGGCTTTCCTGAATTGACTCATTTTCAGCACTTCTATATGCTAATAATAACAAAGAAACCTGCTCATCCCAAGTTTTATTATCTTTCTCACAGTATTGAAAGATCACGTCTAACAAAGTTCTATCAATATTTCTACTAAACCATTAGTGATAAACTGCAGTCCCAATTTTCCTTACAACTAGTAACTCGCAAATTTCTTTCATTAACTTAGATATAAGGTTACTGCCTCTATCTGTCAATAAATACTGTGGTGTACCATGTTTAGTTACTATGTTATTCACAAAAGCCTTGGCGATTGTTTCTGCTTTCTGATCAGGTAAGCATATTGCCTCAGGAAACAGAGTGACGTAGTCCGCAATTACTAACACATGTTTGTTTCCTGTGTAAGATATAGGAAATGGGCCTAATATATCCACAGCTATTAACTGAAAAGGTGTCGTTAGACTAGGCATTCTTTGGAAGAGGCGTTCTTAAAATATGGCCTCGTTTTTCGTTTTTTACATTCTATGCACGAATCGCAATAATCCTTAATATCGTTCCTCATGTTCAGCCAAAAGAATCTTTTACTTATCCTACTTTATGTTCTTGCAATGACTAGATGTGCTGCGAATGACGTGTCATTATAGGTTTCATAACTTTAGTTTTTAAGTTATTTGGTTCAACTATTTGCAGTGACCTGTTGTCATTAGCCTTTTTGAATAAGGTGTCTGAATCTAATGTATATTCTGTATCTTCTCCCTATAATACTTTATTTCGTAAGGTGTTTAGTAAGTTATCTTTTTTTCTGCTCACTAATTACATTATCTAAGTCCCAAAGTACTTCTAACTCGCCCTCATTATCAGATTTTACCTCTCTTACTTTGTTAATCATCTGTTTTTCTTCAGTTTCTGCATTTCCTACTCTAATCCTACTCAGAACATCAACATTAGAATGCTTTGTACCTTGTCTATTTATTACTTCAAAATCATAATCCTGTAGTAATAATGACCATCTCACTAACCTAGAGGAGGGATCTTTTAATTTCATTAACCATCTTAATGGTTTATGATATGTAATGATATTAAACTTCCTAACATACAGATAACAACAGAAAGTTTTAATTCCATGGACTACAGCTGAACATTCCTGTGGCTTTGTGACTGAATAACTTATTTCAGCTTTTTCTAACTGTCTACTCTGATATGCTATAGGGTGTTATTTTCCATTTTCGTCTAACTGTGATAATACTGCACCTATAGTGGATCCCGAAGCATCTGTGCTTAGGATAAACTTTTTACTAAAATCTGGGTAACTTGGAATTGGTGCCTTTAATAAAGCATCTCTTGCTTCCTGTCTTTTGTCTTTCCACTGAAATTTCATTTCTTTCTTAGTTAGCTCAGTTAAAGGCTTTGCCAATAATGCAAAATGCGGTTTATACCTTCTATAAAATCCTACAATTCCTAAGAATGCACCAACATATTTTACTGTTTTAAGCACTGGATAGTTCTAACAAACCTCTAACTATTTTGGATTAGGTTTTACACCATATGAGGCTACCAAATGACCTAGATATTCTACTTCCTTTTCCAAAAACTGACATTTACTTGGTTTAAGCTGTAAGTTTGCTTTCCATAATCTATCAAATACATGCCTTAACCTTTCTAAGTGTTTTTCAAAACTAGCAACGAACACTATGATATAATCGAAATAACAAAAATATTCTGAATCTTACAATTCTGATAATACAACATCCATCAATCTCTGAAATGTTGAAAGGGCATTGCATAAGCCAAAGAGCATTCTATTAAACTGATATTTACCTGAAGGTAACAATAAAGCAGTTTTAGCTTTATCTTCTTCTTCTATCTCTACCTGCTAATATGCACTTTGTAAATCCACAGATGAAAAGTACTTAATCTTATCTGACCTATCTAATGTTTCTTGGATATTAGGTAATGAATCTTTGATTATTACTCCATTCACTTTCCGAAAATCCACATGGAACCTTAACTTTCTATCCTTCTTAGGAACTAATACAACTGGAGATGCATACGAACTACTACTATTCTCTATTGCTTCTTGTTCAAGCACCTCTTTTACATATTCTTTTAGTTATACCCTGTGTTTTTCTGGTGCTCTATAGGGTCTCTGTGCTATAGGCTTATTATCACTCAACACTATCTTATGTTTAACTATTTTTACAAACATTATGGTCGTTTTCTCCTACAAATATATCTCTATACCTTTCTAACAATGTTATGAAACCCTGTTTATGTTTCTTTTCTACATTTCCTAAGATATAATTCCAATTTATATTACTTTGTTGCACCTGTTTCTTAGTATTTTTAACATTATGCTGTCCTACAGCAGCTAATTATTCTCTACTATTAGCCTTACCTACTATTATATGCTTGTATTCCTTTTTCTTTATTCATGTTTAACAATTTTATAGGCACTGTGTCTCTCTCGGATACTTTACTAATACAAGCAGCTATATAAACTCCTGTTTCTTCTATCTCAATAGGTTCAACTAATACTTCTTCATTACACTTGAAGTAATTTACTTTATCTTCAACAATAAATTGACTTCTCGCAAGTACATCAGTTACTTTAACTAATCTTAGAGGTACTCTTTCTTTCAAACACTCTCTTTTAGATGCTCTGTTGCTTATGTCAGGCATAAGTGTAGAGTCATCTGAGGGGTTTGAATTACTATTTCCCTGTATAAATGTCTTATTTGCTAACTTATTCTGTCTTACTTTACTGTTACTTACTTTATTCTTCTTTTCTTACTGCTACTATTACTATCACTTCTGTTGGGCTTGGAGTTTTTCTGTTTATTCTTATTCACTGGATTTCTTTTTAAACACTTATTATTCTTATTTCTCTGACTTTGGAAGATCAGTGCTTTCATCTTTTTACTGTTGATCTTTAGCCTTACTGATGCTAGTGTTAGGTATCTGACTATTAGCTTTAGTCAGCAGGAAGGTATCATTTGTCTCAATTGTTTACATACGTCTGAAGGTTCAAGACCTTCAAAGCTTAAGTTCTCTGTTTCTACACATAACTTACCTGAAGTAAGATATATTTCAGCATTATAAGCCCTTAAGAAATCTTACCATAGATACCATCTGTTTTTAAATCTATCTGCTTACAGATATAAAATGAGTGTTCTATCTCTAGCTTTCCTACTTTCATGTGTAAACTATATTTACCTAGTGTTTTAACAGGATGTCCTGTTATAGAAGTTAAAATACTTTTAGAAATTTCATTCCAAGCATTATTCAACAATGTTGGATTTTTATCTACTAGTTCTGCACTTAGTAGTGAAGATCAAGTGCCTATGCCAACCAATAATCCACATACTATACCTTCTATTCCTACTGCAACTACTGGCGACACTTCATTAAACTATGGACACTCAATCTCTTATTCCACACTGCTTGAATTACCTCTACTTTTATTCTGTAGTCCCAGCAGGGATTGCATTTCTTGATTCTATAGCAAATGTAGGGCTATCATTATTTTTCCTTTGTAAGCTCCAGCCTTTGGGGCTGTTTTAATTTCTGCCTTCTATGGATACTGGCAATATCAGGCTATGTGGCCTTTAATACTACAATTAAAACATGCTACCTGTTCACTTCTTTTCTGTTTCTGAAAACAATTTTTTGTCATGTGACCAGCCTTGCCACTGTTGAAACACTGGAAGCCGACTTACTTTGCATATTTTGCCAATCTGTTTTACTAGATCTGTTATTACTTACTACATTTACAGTATAGTGTTTAGGTCTGTATATCTGTTTTTAATTTTAAAATCTCTGCCTTTTTGGTATCAGTCCAACTTGATATTCTGGAAGCTTCATTTAAAGCATCTATAAAGCCCTTTACATCTTCACTGAGTCTTCTATTATACAGTGGTATAGCACTCATTAAATGCATAGAGCTGCATGGACTTACTTGTGTATGTTGCTCTGCTGCAGCTTCATAGTTAGTGTCAGCCCTTCTATTGACTCTAGGTCATGCACCACCCTCTTCTGTAGTCGTGTATACACCAGCAGTAACCATATTCCCTGACTTACTACTTATTTTTAACTTACACTACTTAATAGTACTTTTGGCTGATTCTTACTTTTACTCTTTTCTTTACTCATAACCAACCTCTCATTAGTTACTACAAAAATCCTATAAGACTGCGCCAGTTGCAACGGGCAGTGCTCTTGGGTCTAATCATTGGAGGTTCGACTTTACTGCCATTTACACCAAATTTATTTAATTGGGGAAAGCAGTAACGAGTGGAGCGCATAAGTCACTAACTCGAGGATATTTATGGTTAGACTAAAGAAAACGATTCTGAGACTGAGGCTTCACAAAACACATCAATTTTTATTTAAGTTCTTAGATATAATATATATCCTTTTATGCATACTCAGCTAGTTATTCAATAAACAAACTTTCAAGTTAATCATTACCGACAATATGGTTCACATAGGAGATATTCAAATTCATTACATACATTATTTCTTCATATAGATTGCTTTACCATTTTATCCTAAACTACATTAATTAAACGAAGAAATAGTAATCTTACTTACATTATAGTTGAGGAGGTGTATTGTTGCAAAATAGATACTGTCATTATGGATAGAGCTTCCCAAACTGAAGAACTCTGTTCTGAGCTGGAGAATGCTTGATTTGTTTTGGAGAACTTGTTAGCCCCTGAAGAAATGATTTTCAGCTTCAAATGTGAGTTTTAATACGATAATTTCTCTGTATTCTTACGAGTTTCCAAGTAGTATACATAACTACCCACAAGTAGTTCTGATACTTCATTGATTAATTTCTGCAACTCATCGGGCATTTCCAAAGCAAGAACCAAAGCTCTCAAGTAATTGGTTACTGTGGTGGTGAGTGCTTTGATTGCCTTCTCACTTATACTACTACTCAAGTCTGTGCCAATTTTAGATGCTATCATAAACTTTTTAGTAACCTTCACTGTACTACTAGATTGGCATCCATAAAATATCACTGTCAAACTCGTGACTAGCGTTTTTTTTGGCATCTTTACTGGGGTGCTAGGCATTAGTTCTATTTTTACAACTTTTTAACTCGTGATTCTTAATACTAACTACCTAACTAGCTATGCTTTGCCTAGTTCTTGACCTAATTTTGCAATACAGGTATCCTTACTTATGCCATTTCTTCATGTATGTTTCCAAACCTAGAAACCTAAATTTTCTTTACTTTGTTTCATAACACTGAAGCAATAGTAAAAAAATACTTTAAATACCCAATTGCTTCAATAGTACAGAAGTAGCATAAAAATACTCTTAAGATATGACTGCAATAACTGAATATAAATGCTTCAATAAAGATACAGTATATACACTACAATATTAAGCTATATATGATAGAAAATTTCAAACCTTTTTTTGCATTAATTGTACACTACTAACCAAAGGGAAGACATCCAGTCAGCAACATACTGTCACATACTGCTAAGGTATTGATTTTAGCTCTTATAATGCACCCACAGCTTAATATGTGGGGAATATTTAGTGATATTCCAGTACTTATTAACATTAGAGCAATTTGGGTGGATCCACTAGACAACAGAACATTCACTAAAGATATTGATTATGAAATAGTACTAAAACTCTCAGTAACTGAGTAGGTGTTCAATGAAATAATGATAATGGCCAAAATGTGATACACACATTTAACACAAATACAGTGTGTGTATTTGCAGTTTACTTACACTATATGATCTCTTTTAGGTTCCAAGAAACATTGCATTTACACAACATGTTAGGTGCTATCCACAATACTGGTCATTCTCATTACAATAGAGAGGGATCATAACCTCTAGATATTGCCTGAACAACTGTTGAAGAACACTGCTATTGAAATTCATACATAATGCCATATTCCCAGACAGTAACAATTACCTATTTTGAGAACAACAAAAGTAGCTTGAATTAAGTTAACGATTTTCTATAGCAATATTATGTGAAACCTGCAGACATTCAAAAAATAAATATGAATTCAGGATAAATATTACGATACTAAAAGAAGATGGAGAGTCAAGGCATATTTAAATACCCACTTTCATGTCTTCCAGATCTCAGGCTTGTCCTAAACAGACAATTAAGTTTAATGTTAAGCAAATAATATTTATATTTGTACTGGACAAGAATTGCATAAACCCTATCTGGCTTCCAAAAATATTTATGCATCCTGTAGACATCACAATTATTGAACAAAATACTACTAAAATACCTAAAATAAAGAAATGGTACAGAAGTTACATCAAAATAATTTAAAACCTCTGACTGCAAATATAAGCCTTTTAACCCAATGGATATGGATGGGTCAAAATGTATATGTCACGACTTTTTTACAGTTACATTCAAATTTTAATTTATAAAATCTTTATTATTAATATATGCCAATACACTTGGCATCTCAACATGGTGTAATCTATAATTAATTTTTAATATTATATGCTTTAGTTTCTTAATTCAAAGGAATATATTTCAAAAATTTTCAATATTTACTATTGTGTTACATCACCTCTGCATTATGAATTATCCTCTTTAGAATTTATTACTTTTACGATACAGCTTCTATAGTTGGTAACTAATTAGAAACAAAATCTACTCTTGCTAGCAAGCTATAATATAAAATAAGTGCCTCTCACCTTCTTGATGTGCTGAGTTATCAGTATATTTAGCAACCTCCCAAGAGAAGCCTCACCAGTCTCTTCATGCTTTTGAAGTCACTTATTTACCCACACCTACTTGTCTTAAGTACATATTTATAACAAATATAAAGAGCAAATTCTGAACCATATAATTCTAATGATTCTTTGTTTGTTTTTGGCAGTCAAAGCCATTAGTTGGCAAGAAAAGTTTGGTGAA